TGTGCCCCCGCCCATCCGATCATCGACAAGTCGATTTTTCACGTGGTGCAAATCCTGTTTACCGCGGATTAACGAGAGACGAGCGCACGAGCGAAGGTCTTATCCTTTATCCGCCTCTCCTCCTCCCCCCCCCCCCCCCCCCCCCCCCCCCCCCCCCTCCTCACCTCACCGCCGCGCCGCGATAATTGCGGGCGCAAAATATTTGCACGCGAGATGCGTTCGATCGGGCCTGATCATTATTCGAGTGAATTTCATCGCTTGCGCTTCGTAATCTTCCGCGTCGTGGTAATGTGTTGTTGCTTCACGCCGTACACTTTTGGGAATTATTTCATTCCATAAAAATTTAAGGATAAATTAAAGATTCACGCTCCCTGTTAGCTACCCCCAATGCATACACTTTGTTTAATTGACATCTATTTTAAACGTATGCCATCGCAGTCTGTGAGCTCCGTTCTGTTTTTTGTTTTGTTTATAAATTTGCCTATGATCTAAGTATCCTTATAAAATATTCGAGCCTTGCGCTGATTTATGCTCGATAATTAATCTAAAAAAATTGGCCAAGAAACTAGCGCTTTCAAATTATCAAAAATCGCCGGATGCAAATACGTTTAAATTATGAGTAGCCGAGGTTCTTGCACAGTATAGGGAATACGCATCAATGTCTGCTTAAAGTACTTGGATATTTTGAGCCGAATGGAAGAAAAAGTCTGGCGCTCATCGAATTAATTAGGAGCGGTCCGAATTCCATTGATCTCCTCCAATAAATGATTCACCCACGCATAATTACCGGGACGCGACGTGTGTGATCGCCGCCGGGTCCCTCCTTTGCTCCTCCGAGTCTTATTAAATTCCCGGTAGGCCGATGCCATATCTATGCGGATTTAAGATACGTAGAACGATGCCGAAGCTATTTGAGATAAGTGTAAGTTAATCGTAACGATTAGAGCTAATTATGAGCGTAATTTAACGTTGCCTGTCGCTCGAGTTTGAAGCTTTAATCATATTTAAGTCCGCTTGTTTTCTTATTGTGCCGTGAAATTACGAGTATACTTTCCATTGGAAAAATACCGTTTCTCACAATTTTGATTCCGCATTTACGGAAAAGCAATTACGGACAATAATGAACAGTTGTATGTTCAATTGTTTGCCTTATATTATGATGAAAGATCGCATACCGCGAAATCACACTACTTCTCTCTCTCTCTCTCTCTCTCTCTCTCTCTCTCTCTCTCTCTCTCACACACTAATTATAGATATTAGTGATTTATATAAACATCGTTACTTGGTAAAGCTTAGTTTCAATTATCCTTATATTCTTATGTGCGCGCTTTATTTTTGTTTAACTTTATGTTTCATAGCTATTCGATGGATCGGATAATGCAAGAAACGCGACGACCCAATAAATAGAATCTGTCTCATCATTAAAATCCTAATGTATAGTTCATAAATTATTATTTAATTCTATCGAGGCATAAATGGAATTTTCATTATATATTTTTGTAGCGCCGATTTAGCTGCTGTATTGAGCGAGTTGATTTGCAAAGGCAGTAAGTCACGAGCTATGAATAGCTAAATCCATTCGATCAAATGTTTTTAAACAGAACAGCACATACCTATCCATAAACTCGTGTAGATGTTTATCCTTTTATCAACGTCCAGGAAGGCGATATTTTCAACTCGCGGCACAATTTCACGCTCCTGTAGTTCCACATACAGCTACATTAAACGATGAAATTTTAAAGTTTTTTTTGTTTGTTTGTTATAATGCAATAAAGATGTATGCGTGTACGTAAAACGTCTAAGACTTCGACACATTTAAATGGCCAAAAACAATCAGTTAATATAAATTAACGAGATACCTTGAATCTCGACGAAGTAACCATGAGAGACTACATAGTATTAACCGAAATTCAAACCTCGCGATTCTCTTCAATTAACCTCAATATATATATATCCGTAGTTAAATATAGAAAAGCTCAGTGATAGGGCATAATAGTTACATAGCAATTACACAAACACATTGGCATGCAAATAAATGGAGGATCGATCGTAAAATCGTAACATCGAGCGTATCGTCAGTCGCCAGTCGCTTAGCCGGATATAAAAAAAGTCCGCGAAATCGGCTTCCGCGTTCACCGCGCGTATAAAATAATAAGCGGCGCTTTAACAGCGCGTGTTCTTAAATACGAAATCACTATATTTCTCGGCGCTATCGGGGGTAATCCGAAACTTCGGCGATACTATCGCGGCGTGACTTGGATCGTATCGGCGGCGATGGGCATGGGAGTTGTGGTTCAGTGCCTGGTTCCGCGTAATCCTTACCGACGCGAGCCGCATAAATTCCTTGGGCGAGGCGCGGATTTAATATTCGACATAACTTTATCATTGGACGGTGAACTTTATGCCCCGGGAACTTGTTTAGAGGAGGCCTATATAACGAGCGCGGGCAAGTTTCTTTCGTTATATTGGATCGTCTGTTATGTTAAGCCTGGGAGTTTTCCTGAGATACAACAGGGATGACCTACTTGGAAAATAACTGTTGGCTCGGAGCGTTCGCGAATTTTTCGCCAGTAGCTTCGTAATATAGTGTTATTTATTTTTGAAAATTAATTGAATATGTTTTTTAAACGGGTTAATAGCTCTGCTCGGTAATATTAATTATTGATTGTACGTACGGCTAAAGCGCGGAATTATTCGAGTAATTGCGCTCGGATAGTTTTTGTTGGCTTTAAAATTTATTTTAAGATTTATTAAAACAATATGTGAAGACAATTGTAAGAGGAGAAAAACAGTCATTGATTATTATTATTTAATCAATTAGAATATAAATATATATTTAGCGTGAAGATTTAAAGAAAATAATAAATTGTGAATCTTGGAAGGTATGAATGATGGCCGTTCGCATTAAATCAAGCGGCGCAAGAAAAATTTCACCGAATCGATTCGCATGGTACGGCGAGCCACGCGGTTCCACATTTTTATCCCTGTGCTTTTCCCTTCCATCTTCGTCTTTTTTTCTTCCTTGCGTTTTCTCCCTCCCAAGATATATTTCACATCGACTTCTGACTCTGACTCTCCATACCTTGCCATCTCATTCATTCATTCATTCCGCCTCCTTTCAATTTCTTCGAGCGTACTGAAACAATAACGAATTGTCACTTATCGTTGCCATTTGTCATAATTCACGGGCGCAAGTCGCTTTAAACAGATAAAGTTAGAAAGATTACTTTGATCGTTGAGAGCAATGATAACGATTACTCCGCGGCGCTGTTAGAATTTCCTTAATTCGAATTAAAAAAAAAAAAAGAAAAAAAAAAAGAAAAAGAAAAAAGAAAACCCTCTCGCACGCACATAGTTTTTAACGTTGGGCACGGTAATTTTTACAATCGTTTCTCGCAATCTTCGGATTACCGTGGCATTATCAGGATAATTTTCATAAAAATTTCGCAGCCTCTACTTGCGGGAGCACCAAGTGCAGGGCGAAATTATCCGTCATGACCCGCGCACGAGAAATGAAAAGGAACAAAAGCAATACTTTCCGCGAAATCATTTTGAAATCCATTACTTTAGCGGAATAACCTCCCGCCTTACACGATCGTCTCTCGCGCTACCTAAAATAGTCTAAAAACGGGGAAAGAAGACTCGGGAGGCTCGAGAACACCCTGAACCATTACCTTCGTAGCGATGGCCGCGCGATACGATTAAAACGTCGGCTGCGGAGCCGAACATCGACGTAATTGCAGAGCTGCGAAAGCCTCCGTTTCACGCCTCCCATCGTGCACTGCTTTGCATCTCCGCTCCATTTGAATCTTAATGAATCGCTTGTCCCCACCGATATCTCCGAGTTTTTAGGAGCGGAAGAGGTGTGCGCGTACAAGCGGAAGATGAACTTGGTGCGCAACATGATGAATCTCGGCTACTTTTTGAAAAATACCACGGCATAGTGCCGCAGTGGCTAACGGATCGGGTGGAATATGGTGCACATGGTGTTTCATTAATTTGCCAGATATTTCTGTGCTTTTATTTCCAAACTATATTTGATACGGGAGATTAAGCTTCGGATAATCGTTTTGCGCACTTAACGTGTCAGTGAATTCAACGAAGAATTTGCAGGGAGATTTTAGCCGATAGTTTATATATTATAGAAGAATAAGATTTACTAATTCTGACACTATTATGAAATATTAGGAAAATATAGTTCAACAAACTATAAGTACATCCGGTTTTTCTTTTTCATAATGTTCCCATAATCATCAGTGGCATTTGATTTTTATATTATTTTGTATAACTGTAGTTACGTGTATTCCGATTTAAAACTATAAATTATTACATTTAATCGTGTCTTTATTTCTTCTTCTTCTTTTTTTTTAACAAGAATGATTGCCTTTAGTATATTGATTATTGGAATGTTATGTTTAATAAATAAATTAGAGGAAACATATTCATTATAATCCGAATGATTATTAAATTTACGATACTTAAAACGTTACGATATTTAAAAAGATTTGAAAATGTCATGACTCTACGTATTTCTAAATATATTCTAAATGATTCAAAAGTATTTATAATTATATAAAATAAAAAAAATATATATATATATATTTATTTATTTATTTATTTATTTATTTATTTAAAAGTTGATAATTTGAAGAATTTGAAGTTAATTATTTGTTAATAATAATTGAATAATAATTTACAAAAGAATAATCTCACTTATTGAATTAAACAAAATTGTAATTATTCAATATAATTAAAATTTTTATAAAATTAAGAGCTAAATAAAATCTGAGATTCTTTTTATCATAATCTAATGTATTATAAAGAAAACAAGTGGAGAACTATTTATATTTAAAGTTCCAAATCTTCTCTCTATGTGGAGATGATACATAATATCTTTTGTCCATAGCTGATATGGGTTATCGAGTTTATTGATAATTCGAGAATTTCAATTTATTATATCGTTCATACGTAAATAACGGACTTGAATTTATTGTTTCTAGATTAATGGAGCACAGACAGTTTTACTTAGGCTGCTTGAGTAGTCACATCGTCAAAAGAGTTCTTGAAGAAGTGAACAAGTGAGTCGTTGTTATTCATTATACTTATAATTATATAACGTAAAATATGAGAATTAATTTAAGAATGAACTAATATAACAATTTATTAATTTATGAGACAATTCCAAAAATTTTAAATCCTAAATGTATACAATTTGAATCGAATAATGCAGTAGTAATAAATAAATAATAGTAATAAAATAGCATCTGTCGAAGCAATAATAATTTATTATCTTCATTAACCTCAATATCACACATATTGCATTAATTATTTATTTAGTTTATATAATTATCAAAGTTTTACCGCGGATAACCTTCTACCATGATTGTTAGTTATATTGTAAAGTATGTTGTAAAATATATTTAAATTATAAAATATTTGAATTATTGTGTGAATTTTGTATATATTTATTTAAACTGACAAGTTTAAAAACCCCATAATAATATTTTTATATTGTTTATTATTTTTTTAATTATGCGCATCTTATAATAAACATAGGAATGGAATTTTCACTTTTCATAAAATACTTTTTATACACTTTTAAAATTTAAATATACAAAATTATTCAAATAATTGGTTATTATATATATATATATATATGTGTGTGTGTGTGTGCGTAGGCGCGCGTGTGTGTATTTTTTTTCTTAAATCATATTGTACGAAAATGTTTGTATCCCTTATATGATACAATTTTTAAATTTAATCTTAGCGTATTTTATTTCTTCTATTTCATTTTGCTCACAAACTAAAAAATAAAATATACTTATAAACTTTAATAGATAAATTAAAGCATTAATTAATCAATTATTTTGTACAAAAAAAAAAGTACAAAAATGTCATTTGGAGGCTATCAAATTAGATTAATTAACAATACCAATGCGGTTTGAAACATTACAAATTCATCATGTTAATTGAAATAAATAAATATACGTAGAAATTAAAGAAAAAAAAAAAATATATATATATATATATATATATATATTAATTAATTTATAGAAAAATGAAAATCAAGTTGAAAAAATATGGTGAGTATAAATAAAATAATCTGCATTTAGTCCTTACATATATATGTACGCTAAACGATTAAAATTTACGACAAAATATTGTATTTAAATTAATTGATCGTATAGAACATTGATTGATAGTCCTATTGCATTAATTAAGAGAGGAATTGGTCTTTTTTTTTTTTATTTATTAAAATATATGATAGGGCATTTACACTATAATTAACGATCATTTAAATATTAATTATATTTTGAAATATTTTCTCTCATAGTTGAAGATCGACAGAGACTGGCTTAGTAATAAAAGGACTCCGTAATGGGACGAGTCAATAAATCGCTTTTGATATTGGCGACTATTTTGTATGCCCAATCGTTTACACAAGCCTTGGAAAATCGGAGCTTCAAAAAAGAATGGACATTCCAAGGATACAGAGTATTTAAATATTCTCGGGACATTGCTACGGATGACAATAGCTTTCTTTATGCAGTCTGCACGGAAGATAAACTACCCGCAGAAATGAATTGCAACGTGACGATCGAAACGCCTATTCTACCTTGGTGAAAATATATTCATTTAAAGCTTGTATAATTGCACGAGCATTAATCAGCTTCTAAAACAATTGTTCGCTTATTTTAATTATAAGCCCTGTGTGTTTTATCGCAACAGTTTTATCTATAATTGTTGTTTTAAAATATTATCCGCCTTTTAGCTTATTTTTTTCTGCTCTTATATAATAAAAATCTCGAGCTTTATTATGCTGGTTTAGTTAATTTTTTATGCATGGAGAGTAAATATTATCTTCCGATTAGATTATCTACACTGCAATAACAGCTCGAGTCGATAAATTGATAAGTCATTATAAATTTTTAGGAGCTTGATTTAATTGTATTGAGAAAGCATTAGCTAAAGACTCTGACAGAAACTTTCTCCAACAGGAGTAACACATCACGCATCGAGAGCTGCGATCTGAATCTAATTGGCAGTGGAGACGGTGAGCTGCGGCAAGAGGTCACGGGAATAGTATCGGTGGAACGTCTGTCCAAGGATCGCGTTATCGTCGTCTGGTGGGAAAGACGGCGCAATAGCCAATATCAGATCCAAAATATCAAAGTCAGTCTCGTCCGTATGGCGAATTGCACAAATCGCATCTTGACGTTTCCGGTTAACGCCGCGGGTCGCGTCCTACTGAGCAACGTCCTCGTCTACCCTACGGGTTTCGACGTCGTCGTCTCGCACAAGGCGAGCTGTGTCAATTCGTCCACCTGCCGGCTAAGCCACGATCTCGAGGGTCAAAGGGTCGGCGAGCCCGTGGCCTTTGTCAGCAACTTTGATGCCGTATACACGCAATTGATCAGTCCAACATCGCCGGACAAGGGATTGTATCTATCGGGGGCGGACATCGACGCGTGGACCTTCAGGGCGATGCATGTGTCGAGCATTGGCGTCGAGACCAATCTCGTGATCGCACGCGTCCCCGATCCCAGGAAGATTCAACGCGCCACCTCTAACGCCCACGAGCTCTACGGCATCTGTCTCATGGTCGATGGGAGAATCCGTTGTGCGCAGTTCGACGCTCAGGCGCACACGAAGCTCGACACGTACATCGGCGTCCCGGGTAACATCCAGTGGCTGGCCGTGCACAATATCGCCAACGGCGGCCTCCTGCTACTCACCGGCCACTGCAAGAGCCACAAGTGCAGGAGCTTCAGGATTGCGATGATCCGGGAGAACGGACGTCGGGCGGGAAAATCCTTGGACGTACCGGATCTCGATCTCAAGTGCTCGCGACTTCCGCGCGACCTCGTGGTCGACGTCGCCGAGACGCGAACAGAGTTTTGCTTCTACTTCGCGTGTGCGTACGCGCGCAAAACGCTGGAAAAGGACGCGAAGAGTGTTGTTACGTTCAGTAGTAAGTGCGTACCGAAACTCGTCATCCAGCACGATTAAACTTCCCATTCCGATATCTCAGCGTCGCTTTTTCATTTCATACGATCCACACATTCATCGATAAGATGCGCCATTTTCGTTCGAGCGACACTTCACGGGATGATTATACGAGTATTGTTTTTAGCCGAAAACATAGTAACGCATAATAAGATTATTAACCAACTTGTCTTAGTTTAACATTTTAAAGAGAGACGGAACTTTTCACCGAGCTACGTAATTATGCACTATCGCGTGTCTATTAGTAATTATTAATAGGCATCGCGTCAACTGTATTTGTGAAAGATCAAGCTGGGATTGTAATATAATTTTGCAATCGATAATATTTGCCAGCCGAACTAACAGGAGCACAAGGACGTTAAAATTAAACACAGGGGCGCACAGACACAAAGTACCGAGCACCTAGTTAATTTATTAGTGCGTTAATGAGCTGATAATAGATTCGTACTATTGCTCATATAATTTTTAAAACACTGATTTTAATGATAAAATGCCGGCGCAGCAAATTTCGTTTATTATTAATATGAACCATGCCTTTGTAGATTGAGAAAATTGAACTAGAATGGACACATTTTATTACCGCGATTTTATATAATTAATCGATGAAAGTCAACAATATATTGTACAACATAAGCTTTACGAACAGATGGTGAAAGAGTTTGATAATAATTTCTCAGATATTGCTAATGAAAGGATAAAATACGGAGCTGCATAATTGGAAAAGTGATTTTTACCGATGAAAGTGATTGCCGAAGCGAGTGTTGAAGCACGAGACCACATCGATGCAAATTGACGCAAATCAGCGCTTATGCAAAAAGCTTCAAATTGTGCGGTTGGACATTAGTTGATGCTTTCATTTGATGAAAATATTCATGAACAGAGGAGATCGAGTGCTGAATTGGAGCATTATAGTGCGATAAGAAAACTAAGATGGGATGCTGAAATGCGCACGCGACGGATGCGACTGAAAGAAAGAGAGTGGAGAAGACATAAGGAACGATATTAGCATCTTACTAGCCAGCGCCAACTTCGTTTTCTTAAATGCTAGTTTGGATCGCGACGAAGAAACAAAAATAAGAAATACCGCAGAATAGATTGGCTTGCATGCGGCGGCGATGGATAATTGTATTAGGCCTCGGACCAGAAAAATGTTCAAATGATAAAACGACGAAATAAGAATACCTACGAGAGTCAAGAGAACGAGGTTTCTACTGTACCAGGGCTGTGCGTATGCTCACACGCAAACAAATCCCATAAATCGTACAGGCAAAACTTACGAAACAATTACGTTAATCATCGAACAACCGGACTAAACATTTTACCGCTGATTTTTTAAGTGGAGGAAATATTTGTATATAATACCGCCAATTTTTATCGTCCAGTGCTTAAACCATCGCATGCCAATTTAGTCGCTGCGTTCTATTATCTCTCTCTCTCTCTCTCTCTCTCTCTCTCTCTCTCTCTCTGTCTGTGTGTGTGTGTGTGTGTGTGTGTGTGCACATGCGCTCGCGCGAGCACGCGTGTGGACGAGCCCTCGAGTAAAGTAGATGCACTCCATATTCAGTAATGCATATATTCGTGGTGACACGGTCGATAAAACCTTGTGTAGCCGACTACGCTGCCTCCGAGCATCGGTCGACTCGGCGGCACCTTTGTGCTGAATTTTATTCAGCCGCAAATGCACTTATTTTTCACCACCGATCTGATGACACCAAGTCCGTGGGACATTGTGACTGTAATAAAATTTATACTCCACTAGGAAGCTAATAGGAAGCTATGGCTTTAAGATAGGAATGAGAAAAATACTCGTCCCCTTTTCAATTTACTTTATTAAACGAAAATCTCTGTCCAACCGACGCTATCCGATAATTCATATTTGACATTTGTAATACTTATCGGTGGCATAATTTGCGGACAATTGGTGTAATGTATTTATAGAAATGTTCCTACATACTTACTATCGACAAATTGATAATATATGACAATTCGCTCGCTCCTCGAAAGCGAACTAAGTGTAACGGTCGCGAAGAGAAGGGCATGTAAGGTTGATGATGTCCGGCAGGGAGTGGTAGGGTGGGGAGGGAGGCGCACACTTTATCCACAGCCGTTCCTCGTCAGTATTTGTCCTTCCGTTATGCTCAACATTCATCACAATTTTCCGAGCAGCGAGAGAGGGGCGAGTGGGGCGGGGTTTTTTTATTTGGGGGGGGGGGAGGAGATGTGAGTAGCGAGAGACGATCGTCCAGTCCTCTCTCGCAGCCAATAATAATAACTCCAGCTTCGTTATCGTAGTACGAGCGCCAACAACAAATAGTTTGCACTCGCGCGACATTTTTGCAGTATTCGCGAGGCTCGCGCGAGCGTAACTAATGGAGTGTGACGGGACAAAAGTGAGCACTTGACTTATCGCTGAGGCATTTTTCGCGCCCGTCTTCTCCCGGCTAATTAATTAATCGCTCGATGGTGGGCACGCGATAAAACAATTTAATTGAGAGCCGAGAAAAGAAACACCTGGCGCGTGGTTATGCCGGCCGATGATAAATAATCGGCTCTCGGAGCGTGACAATTCGCGAACGCCGGGGCAGTGAAATTATTGCGAAGCCGATAAATGTGAATGTGGATGAAAAACAAAAACAAAAAAGGCACTAAATATAAAATGAAAGAGAAAACGGAAAATAAAATATAGAAGAGGAAGTGATGGATAAAGAAAAAAAAGAACTCGAGAGGTCGCTCGGCTTTTGTCTTAGTTCGAATTAATGTCGAGCTGTAAAAATGTGACTATAGCTTTCGAACATTCAGCTCGACTTTGTCATTGTTATGTAATTTGCTCCCACCCCCTCTCACTCACTCTCTCTCTCTCTCTCTCTCTCTCTCTCTCTCTCTCTCTCTTTGTTCTTTATCCTAGCCATTACGAAAGCAATATCGAGCTCAATAATTCATGAATATTCCTTGAACATTAACGCGAACAAGCGAAGTTCTATGGGAATGAAATGGACGGGAGGGGCGGAAGTTTAAGCGATTGCAAGAGACTCGAGAACACTTTTAAAAAAGTAAATGCACATAAAGAAGCGCTATTGCCGTAAAATCGTGCACGCACGCGAGTCGCAAATTGTGAGATATCAAAGGAGCGAGATACGCGCCAACTCTGAATGCGTAACCGCATTCCATCGGCGTGACCTTGGGCCTCTCGCTCCAACCCCGCATCAGCCTATTCGGTTGTTGATTGGGGGAGGTGACCCGAGCTGCATTAGTCGGAAAACAATCCCCGTAATACGAGAAAATGAAAAGGAAAGCCGCTAATTTTAAAAGCCATTCTAATGGTCGAGCGCGCAATGACTCGCCAATTCCGTTAGCCACGCGCGGTCACTTACGCAAATAATGTCGAGGCGCTATTCCCTCGAAAAGCCAATATCCCCGAAGCATCAATCTCGCTCATTCGCATTCCAGCTATCGAACACCACCGCTACGCATATTTATCATCGCGACTTATCTTTTTCCATCCTCGTTTCCTTGCGCGCGCGCTTATACAATTACCGTTCCCCATCCTCGCCCTCGCTCGCTCCCACTCTCTCCATCTCTCTCCCTCTATGCCCAGGTATGCCCGACGATCGTTATTATTTTTCGATTGCGCCTCCTACTTTTTCTTGCACGCGGGAGCTTTTTAATTTAACGCCGAGCCGTGTCGGCGCGCATCGCCAGCGAGAAAGAGAGAGAGAGAGAGAGAGAGAGAGAGAGAGACACAGAGCGAGCGAGGAAGATCAGTTATATAGTAGGAGTTATTCCGCGTTACAAACGGAAGCACCAACTGTTCGTGTTTCGCCTCGGTTTCGAAGGGCGTGTACAATTATGCTCGATGCAATTATACATTGGGCGAAAGGAATTAGCCCCTGGAGCATAATGTTAAGTTGCTCTTTTGTCCAGGATTAAACCGTATTTGAATGGGCATTTTTAGCCTTCCAGAATTTTATGCGCGTGCGCAAAGTAAACGGCAACCCACTGGAATCCCCATTTGCCGTTTCATCTCTGTCAAATTGCAGTTGCGCCATTATCGTTTACCAATGCAAAGATCATCGATGTAAAGAGAGAGAGTGAGAGAGAGAGAGAGAGAGAGAGAGAGAGAAAGAAAGAGAAGGAGAGAGAGAGAGAGAGTATATCTACCGTATAAACGTCGTGGCTCAAGTATTGTCCAGATAATAATGTTTTTCTTATGATCGATAACGACTTTGTTGACATACGCGTCCCTTGACATTCAATAAGTCGACAACCAAATTTTAACGACAATTTTCTTTACACCACTGTCAAACTTTATTTCCATAAACTCGACCGATTTCCATATTAGGATACGCATGTACCTCAATAATGCCTTGATAATATTACCTTCACGATAAGAAATTGTGGTAACAAAATACACCACCATTTTAAAATCCAAATAGCGATCTTTGCTGTTAATTGCTCGACGATAATTCAAGCGGAAAGAAAAAAGGAATGTAAAATATTAAAAAAAAAAAAAAAAAAAAAAAAAAAAAAAAAAAAAAAAAAAAAAAACAAAGAAAAAACATTTTTTCTTTCTCGTCACACCTCTTCCCGCTCCCTCCCTCCCACCCAAGCCAACCTCGCCCAAGTGTACTTTTGTATTTAATGGCGCGGCGGTGCCAATGCTATTTCCATCGCTCATAAAATGAGCAAAAATCATCGAATTCGATCTTTTTTGCGCAATTTTGTGGTGAAACGGGTATGATCAGTGCGGGACAAGGCGTTTAAACGTGACGCGCCTGGCTAAGATTGCGTGGGCATGAAATATACCAAGTGAATATACAGCACATAATATAAGAGGACTAAGGTGATTATCTTTATTTCTCTGTGATCGCAACGCACGAGGTTGCTCGCTCGCTCTGCGTTTCGTCGTGCTTTTGCTTTCCAGTGCGCACGATCTTATCATCGACGCACGTCGTGATCGTGATGGGTGCGCGCGCGCGTCTTGTCTAGATTTTCAAAGTGAATTTTAGCTTATACCCGGTACATCTCTCTCTCTCTCTCTCTCTTGCTCTCTTGCTCTCTTGCTCTCTCTCTCTCTCTCTTGCTCTCTTGCTCTCTTGCTCTCTTGCTCTCTCTAGCTCTCTTGCTCTTGCTCTTGCTCTTGCTCTTGCTCTTGCTCTTGTTCTTGTTCTTGCCCTTGCCCTTGCCCTTGCCCTTGCCCTTGCCCTTCCCCCAATCGTCGCCTTCCTTTTCATACTTCATTTCTGCTCATCTCATCGCGAATCCCTAATATCGCGAATAAATCAAAAT